CCATCTCAGGTGTAGCTGCTTCTCTGAATAAGGTTCTGCATTCCGCTTATGCTCTTCTCCCTTGATGGTCCTAAGGTCCTCTGTTTCTGGACTGTAAAATTAACTGGTCCCCCATTTTTGTTACAAAACTTCTACCTTTACAACTGTGACAGTCGCAATTAGTCATGATAACAATGAATTACTATTGAATCATAAGAATCTTATCCTCATCTCTTTTATTCAGACCCATCTAGACAAGATGACAACTATTCAGTGGGGAACTCTTTCTTGGCCCACACACTCTTAAAGTCCCTCTTGAAACCTTGTAAGCCAGAAGCCAGTCACTTTATGCCTTTATTGCCCCCTCATTTTAGGTAGCCAACGTCTAAGTTGCCAGTCCCTATCTACCCTGTATACAGTAGCAATAGCATTGATACTTGATGTGAAGACTCCTTCCCTTTCTGTTGGTATTCAGAGTTACTACCTCCATGGTCAGGTTCATCACATTGTATCAATTTACCCTTGTTTGTTTCCTTTATCAAATATTGTGTGTGTTTTTTTTTAATCTTCCTCTAGTTGAGTTCTGATTATCAAGCCATCGAAGCTAGGTCAAATGGGTACACTCTGCAAGTTTGGGTGTTCTTGTGCCTCTCTCCCCTTACTTCATAGCAGCTGGATGTTTCAGTTTCACTCTCAGATCTAGCCCTCTGTGGCTATGTCCTTGTCCATGGGCTCGGGTGTCCCCAGGTCTCACCGCACTTTGGACCAACCAGACCCTCTTCTCTCTCTCTCATCTCCAGGTCAACAGGAGTCAATGGACCATGGTTGAACTCAACCCATTTCTTCATTGCTGCCTTTCCCCTTCCACTCACCAGTAGACCAACGTGGTAGCCAGCAAGCTTACATGCCTGTTAGTGTGTTCCCTTTGAGTTTCAGTCTTAGAGGGAAGGTATGGATGACTTTTGAACATTTTCTTGGTTGGATATTGAGGTTGTTTCCATTCCACATTCTGTCATTGACTCTCATTCTCACAGTGATGAATCCATGTCTTATCACCAATAATGATTTTTTTTTTAAAAAGAAACTGTTACCCTCCTTCAAGTATGGGTCCAAACTTTGTTTGCAGCGTGCAAGCACTTCTGTTTAAGCTCTTCCATGAGTTGTTTCAGTAACTATCTTGCACAAACTTTTTGAAACCTAAGTCTATTGTGGGTTATTTTATAGGCAGAGCCAAGGCTGATTTGCAAATGATTTGCCACACAATTCACTGTCATTCGACAGAATCCTTTCATGTGCACACTCAATGTTGTCATCAGCAGTAGACATGGATGGATGTTTTAATATAACCAGAGTGAGGATAATTTTTGATCCACCCTAGTGTGCGTATGTGTGTTTATACATATACATACAGACATAAATATATGTATATATCTATTCTGTTGCTTTTTATTTTAGTACGTTTTTCTTTTTTAGTTTGACAGTTGAAATACAAATTCATTTTTAAAATAAGGATTTAAAAATTTTTATACTCATAAACCAAAAGGAAGTGATTTATCTCTTGCTGGTAAGTGAAAGAATGATGAGACAATTTCCTTTTATGTTGTTTCAAATATCTCTAAAACCATCAATTAGGTTAAAACCTGTTTCTTTTCTAACTTTGCCATATCATAATGCATTAGATAAGATTTAACTTTCCTAAATTTTCATTAAATATCTGAGTTATAACAATAAAATATGTATAATTTGTAAGAATAGGTATAATTTACTATAGCTAAATAGACACTTTTAAAAGCAGATTGAAATTTAAGATTATGCTTAGTTCTGTTAGTTTCTATTTCTAATTGCCCATTTGCTTTAACAGATGGATTGAGTATATGGGCTAAATAAAAGAGCACTAAAAAAGATAGTACGTGTCCTGAAAATAAGTATTTTTGTACCTTTGCAAATGGACTACTAGTACTTAAATATATTACAGGTCATTTTCCACACTCATCCCATGTTATTCTAAGAGTTTATACCTAATATGGGCAGATCTAGTCTGTATAGCATAATGAAGCAAACATTCTCATACCAAATGATTACTGTAGTCCCCCAAATATAAATAATTCTTAACCAGAAGATGAAGTTATATGAGGGGGCTTATGAAAGTTCATGGAAAGTGTAATTATTATTATTTTTTCTTAATTGGTAAAAACAGTGTCATTACCTTTTAATTACATTTTTCCAAGAACTTTTTGAAGCCCCCTCACATTTGAGGCTCTCAGTATAAAGATCCTTCATCTATGTAATACTATCCTTCCTAAGATCATTAACAAAAGACTAAGCATCCAGTGAAGAGCTCTAGAGCCTTGACTTTAGTTGTTTCTACTCAAATGGAAGAAATGAGGAGGCACAAGAGCTGAACAGAAAATTTCAAAGATCAGCTTGAGAAGATATAGCCAAATATTACAACAAAATGTGCAAAGATCTGGAATCAGAAAACCAAAAAGGAAGACCATAGAAGAATTGATGCTTTTGAGTTATGATGTTGGAGAACAGTATTGAAGGTGCCATGGACTGCCAAAAGAACCAATAGTTCCATTTTGGAAGAAGTGCAGCCAGAGTGATCCTTGGAGGCCAAGATGGCCAAACTTCATCTCTCATACTTTGGACATATTGTAAGGAGGGACCAGTCGCTGGAGAAGGCTATCATGTTTGGTAAGGTGGAGGGTCAGAAAAAAAGAGGAAGACCCCAAAGAAATGGATTGGCCAAGTGGCAGCATCAATGGACTCAAGCGTGGCAACAGTAGTGAGGTTGGCCCAGGATCGGGAAGTGTTTAATTCTGCTGTGCATAAGGTCGCAACAACAGTAGCCCAACAGCACCATCTTCTGGCAGACCAGCAAAGCATAACTGCTGTTGTTAAGTTACATGAAGTACCCATTCATAGTGACGTTGCATAGGATTTCTTGGAGTGGCTGGTGGATTTGAACTGCTGACCTTGTGGTTCAAGCTGACCTTGTGGTTCAGTGCTTATCCTACAGTGCCACTGTTGTTGTAAATGCTGTTGAGCTGATTCCAACCCATAGGTACACTGTATAGGGTTTCCAAGAAGTGACTATGATCTTGAATTGCTGACCTTGTGGTTCAAACTGACTTTGCAGTCCAGTACATTAACCCATAGCACCACACCAGGACTCCATAGTACTATTTGTTGTTAAGTGCTGTTGAGTCAGTTCTGATGCATAGCAACCCTATAATGGGTTTCCGAGGAGTGGCTGGTGAGCTTGAACCACTGACCTAACAGTTCAAACTGACCTTGCAGTCCAGCCATTAGCCTGCAGCGCCACACCAGAACTCCTAAATACTAAAAATTCTCTACAGAGCTTCCTGTTTCTGCTCCTGAAAGACTCAATTAAAGATTTCCAGATTTTCCTGACAATGTGTTATTTTAGGGCATTTAAAGATCTAGGTTTACAGCAGGGAAGAACAGACCTGTACTGATTATATTCTTAGTTTTGTAACTGTTGTGCTGTTATTGTTGTTAAGTGCCATCGAGTCAGTTCCAACTCATATCTAATCTTTATAGGGTTTTTGGAGTGGCTGGTGGATTTGAGCCATCGACCTTACAGTTAACAGTCCAGCGTTTACCCTATAGCACCACAGCAAGACGCAGAAAAATGAGATGACTTTAATTCCAGGATAATAGACAAATATAGCCTAAAAAACAATACATGCATGCCACATGGTATGGAAACAACCAAAGCTACATCAGACACTCAGAGGGCAAAAATGTTGACCTATTAAGCTATGCAATTTTGAATCATCCTCAAGCTAGAATACTCATATAATGATGCAGTCCTTCAATATAAGTTCCAATAAGACTACAGACCACTATCAGTAATAATGGAGTACTGGACAGATGTGTGGATCAAGCCTTGATTCCACATATCTGGTTCCAGTGAACACCAAGATTACACTGATGAAGGTAAATAAATCAGTGGGTGTCTGCTGCTAGTGGTGGGATATGAGCTCTAGGAAAACAAATTGATAGTCAAAATCTATTGATTAGCCACTATCTACACTGCTCTATTATGATTCTTGACTATTTCTGGCCCAAGAACTATAACAAGTCCTGTACAAGCCCTCATAAAAATCCTGTGCGTAGGCACTATTGTTATCCTAATCTTACAGATAAAGAAACATAGGCACCTAGCAAGTAAGGTCATATAGCTAGTGATGTTACTGTTAAGTGCCATCGAGTCAGTTCTGACCCATAGCGACCCTGTATAAGGTTTCCAAGGATGACTGGTGAGCTTGAACCACTGATCTTGCGGTTCAAACGGACTTTTCAGTCTAGTGCATTAACTCACAGTGCCACACCAGGACTTCAAACATTATTGTTGTTTGTTCCAACTAATATTGTTGTTGTTGTTAAGTGCTGTCCAGTAGATTCCGACCCACAGCGATCCTATATAGGGTTTCCGAGGAGCAGCCAGTGAGTTTGAGCCACCAACTTTGAGCTTCAAACCGACTTTACAGTCTAGCGCATTAACCCACAACACCACACGAGCACTTCAGAACGTGATAGAGCTGGGAAGTCCAGCTTTTGTTCAGTGTTCTTAACTACTACTTTCATGGCAGTGAGGTTTTAGTTTAGAGGCAATGTCATTGGCAAGTGTTCAGTGCCAGCGCCTTAAGTTTGTCCTGTCAGGATCTCTTAAAAATTTCAAGTTATTTATTTTTAGTGGTAGTATATTCACATTTAAAATTCTAAAAAGATATTGTGAAAAATCTCCCATTCATGTTCTCAGTTCCTCTCTAGACAAAATCAACATTACCTGTTTCTTGTGTCCTTCTAAAGATATTCTAACATATAAAAATATGTACAAATATAGTCATATATTCCTCTAGTTTCTTACTATAGATACTATCTATTTCTTATTTATATAGTAGGGATCTTGGAAATTACCATTATAATGGAAGATTTAATTAAAGATTGTTTGCTCTGAATTGTAACTTGCAAATATTATCTTTACTTACATTTTGCAAACAGGAGAAAATGGAAATATCTGAAACCTTGAATATAATGAATTCTGTGAAGAATGTTGACTTGTTATTTGTAGATGAGTTAATGGCATCTCTAACTTTCCTGAAATATATGTTGTTCAAAATTAAAATTAAAAAATCATATCACATAAACATTGAATAAAATTAATTTAGATTTTTCCTAAACAACTAATATGTTTGATAACTGTGTTATAACAAAAAGACTTCAAAAAAGAAATTTTAGTTACTTGCATGAAAAATAATTGTTTCAAATTTCCAGCTATATAAGGAATTACAGATAGTTTTATTTACCTGCTGTCTCTACTAATAATGGTGACTTTCCACAAAATGCATAGATAGGTAAGGTTTATTGACCATATTATACTTAAGATAACATTCTAAGAGTTTTCTAAGATAGAATTACTTTTATCCCCATTCTAAATACTGGTGATATTAAGCAAATGATATTAATGTAGAGTAATTCTTCACCTTAATGAGTCTGAACTATAGTGTCTAGCACTAGGATCATGTATATTCATAAGATATACTTTAAAAACCATCCTCATTTATCCATAAGTACTATGATTTTATCATTTTCATAAATAAAGCAGTAAACTTCCAAAAAGATGATTAATGGAATCCAATTATAAACATAACTGATAACTGGATCATTATCAAAGCTAAGAAGCAATATAATTTGGAATTAAACTAGAACGAAAAATGACTCTGGTATTCCAAACTTGGTAGAATGACAATACTAATGATACTGATAAATCAGAGAGTGAAAAAATTACATTAGGGGATTAAAAAAATAAATTTTAAAGAGTATAAGAAAAGCTAGCAAAATTGCTAATACTGAGATAAAACATAAATTTATACGGACTGAGCTATATCATAAGTTTTCTATTTTTAATATTAATATTATTCCTTTAATTTCTCTTCCTAAATATTTGCAACTCTATATGTTAATTCAGTTTTGATGCTGGTAGGATTCTTAGTTATTGATAATAATAAATATAATGGAGTAGATAAGAGAAAAAGAAATGACTATTTGGAATGCAATAATAAAATTTTAAGCATGAAAACTGCCTTACAGTAGACTACATATATGAAAGTATTGTACTTTTATGTCATTATAGGTAAGCACTGGAAAACTCAATGATTTATTCATAATTTCTACCTGGTTCACTGCACTCTGGTTCACAAGGATTTTGAATGGTCAAAATCTCTGTGAAGCTGCATTTTATATCCTCAGTGTCAATTCTATATTTTGTAACAAGATCTGAAAAAAGGATGAAATGCTATTATCAGCAAAAGCACCATTAAGTCAGTAACATTGTTAAGTATCTCTTTGTGTCTTTAAAAAAAATTTTTTTTAATTGTGAATAGAGTGAACATTTACAGGTAAAATCATCAGGTTTTATATTCAACAAAGCATACACTTTGTTTCATCTCAGTGGTAATCCCTTTTATGCAAAAACAGTTGTCCTACTTAATTCTTTTGGGTATCCAAGTACAAATACCATCTTTCAAACTCTTATGGGATATACATATTTGTAGGATATATAAATACATACAAAACTCCCCTTTCTTCCCTTACCCATTCAGCCGGTGTCTCTGTCCATGTATCTATGAATTATTGTTGTACTATAAGCCAATTTTCCTTTTCCAGAGTAGTAGGTATATGGAAGAGACCTGGTGTGATGCTGTAGGATTGGTATTGGACTGCTAACTACAAGGTCAACAGTTTAAACACACCAGCAGCTCCTTGGAAAACTTATACAGGGGTATTATGAGTTGGAAATGACGCAAAGGCACTTAATAATAAAAAATATGGTATCTAGAAAGGGTCCCTGGATGGTGTAAATGGTTAAGTGCTTGGATAACTGAAAAGTTGGTGATTCAAATCCACCCATATGTACCTCATATGGTACATATGACTTCTGACTGGAGGGTCAAGATGGCAGGTTAGGCAGAAAGGTTGTGCAGACCCTCTGCAGTAAGGATACAGAAAAATAGATGAGATTCTGAGGATGGTCCTGGAACTCTGAGCTTCAGAAGAAGGGATAGAGAGGTAGAGCGAGTGATTACAGGGAGAAAGAGCTGGGCAGATGCAGCAAAAGAGGACTACTGAGATGTGGTGGCTGACAGACCATGCTTCAACCGTCTTGAGTGAGTGTGAGTGATTTCAGAGACTAGAAAACATATTTGCATTGCAGAAACCTACCTGTGGCTAGCAGAGACAAAGGTACGGCAACTGTGGACATACAGCCTAACCACAGCTGTATCCTTTATTGTTGTTGTTAATGCTAAGTGCCATTGAGTTGGTTTTGACTCAAAGCAACCCTGCATAGTATTCCCAAGCAGCAGCTGGTGAGTTTGAACTGCCAAGTCTGTGGTTCAAAATGAACTTGCAGTTAGTACTTTGTCCAACAGTATCACACCAGGACTCCTGTACCCTCTATAACCACATCAGTTGGGTTATAGTCAATATCAGCTGCTACACACCTGATCAATGACAGCAAACAACATCAGCTAAATCAACCCTAAGCATAACTACATGAACAGCGAATAGAAAATAGAGCACAAGTTCATCTCTTGATTACGCCCACAAGGAGTTAGTTGGTGAATGCCTAAGAATACACCAACATATATTCATCAACTTAATACAAATAAAACAATACCTCAAAAGCAATAGATATTTTCTGTTCACATGAAGAAACAAGACAGAGTAACTCAAACAAAAGACCAAGAAGCAGAGCTAGAAAATATTTTTGAGGACAAATAGGCACTGGAACTACCTGAAAAAGAGACTGATACTTAATTACTTCCAAACAATTGACAGAAAGGTCGAGGAAAACAAAGATGAATTCAGCAGAGTGCTCCAGAACAATCAAACAAAACAGAAAATGGACTGGAGAAAATCCAATCCTACAAACAGAAATCCAGAAGATTAACTAAGAAATAAGAAATGGACAACACACTGAAAGGAAAAGGAGTAGGTCTCAATCAATGGAAGCCAGAATTAGTCAGCTTGATGATAAATATCTTGATACTAATAAGCCGGAAGAACAATCAGAAAAAAAGAATGAAAAAATTTAAAGAAAGCCTAAGATTCATATTGGACAACATGAAAAGGAATAAACTATGGATGATTAGAATTCCAGAACAGGAAAAGACAAAGGAGAACACAGAAAAGATAGTCAAAGAGCAGCTGAAAGAAAATTTCTCCAACATCATGAAAGATGAGAAGATAAGCATTCAAGAAGCTTAATGAACCCCAAAGATAACAGACCTCAAAAGAAAATCACCAAGACATATCAGAATTAAACTCTCCAAAATCAAAGACAAGGAAAGAATCCTGAAAGCAGCTTAGGAAAAACAAAATGTCACCGACAAAGGAAACCAATAAGATTAAGCTCTGATTTCTCAATAGAAACCATGAAGGCAAGTAGGCAACAGGGAGATATATACAAACCTGTGAAAGAAAAAAGCTGCCAACCAAGATTCACACAGCCAGCAAAATTGTCCCTTAAATATGATGGAAAAATTAGATAATTTAGAGATAAACAGATATTACAGTAATTTGTAAACACCAAGACAACTTTACATAATATAATAAAGGGAGTCCTTTGGACTGAGAACTAACAACAGTAGCCAAAACTGTAGAATGACATACAAGGCAACACCACACAGAATTCAATCCAGATAAAAAAGCAACCATAGTAAAACAAAACTATAAGACTGAAAATAGGGACTCAGAGATATCAATTTAAAACAACTACTAAGCAAAAAGAGGAAAAAGTATAGTTATAAAATTCCAAGATAGAAGAGCAAACAGAAAGAAAGGATTAAAAAATCTGAAAAACTTCTAAGATTTATGTTGGACAAGGAATGAAGAGGAATAACTTAAGAGTTATCAGCATTCCAGAACATGAAGAATCACACAAGTCCACTGAGGAAACAGTTAAAGAATTGGTGGAAGAAAATATCTCTAATATCCTGAAAAGTGAAAAGATAAACATTCAAGAAGCTCAACGAACCCCAGGAAGGATAGACAACAAAAGAGAATCATTAAGACATATCATAATCAAGCTCTCCAAAATCAAAGGTAAGGACAGAATCCTAAAAGCAGCTAGGGAAAAGAGAAGCATTACATACAAAAGCAAGCAAGTAAGATTAAGCTCGGATCTCTCGCAGAAACCATGCAAGCAAGAAGGCAATGGGGATATATATATATAAAACCCTGAAAGAAAAAAAAACTGTCAACCAAGAATCCTTTATCCAGCAAAGCTATCAATACAATTCGACAGTGTAATCAAAACATTCCAGGATAAACAGAAGCTAAGGGATTTTGCCAAAGCCAACACTATGCTACAAAACATCCCAAAGGAAGTTCTGTGGACTGAGAACCAACAAGAACAGACAACAACCAGAAATTGACGTATGTGGCAGCACCTCCCAGAACTAAATTGGCAGATGAAAGAGTCGAGACCAGAACAAAACTATAAGAACAAACTCAGAGAATGTGGGAGGTCAGTCTATAATCAAAACAACTACAATGTAAAAGAAAGTAAACATGTAGGAAGAGAGATCTAGATGGTGAGAAAGTTAGGTAGATTACAGGATGAAATAGACTGCACTAAATGGAGGGAAAAGTTAATGGAATATAAGGTAATCTCAAAGAAAATTAACACTATACAACATACCAAGAAAATGAAAATCCAAGAACATGGAAATATTAAAATTATGAGGAAATTCACAAGAAAGAACACAAAAAGCATGAAGTCAGCAAAGGAAGACACACAGAACAAAGAAAGCAGCAACATCACACAAAAAAATCATAATGGCAGCAATCAATCCATGGTGGTGGTGGTTATGTGCCGTGGAGTCGATTCCAACTCATAGTGACCCTGTACAGGGTTTCCAAGGCTGTAAATCTTTACAGGAGCAGAAAGCCTCATCTTTTTCCCATGGAGGAGCTGGTAGTTTTGAACTGCTGACCTTTCAGTTTGCAGCCCACTTTGTAACCACTACACTACCAGAGCTATCTACCTATTGGTAATTACACTGAATGTAAATGGATTAAATGTACCAGTTTAAGAGAAGGAGGGTGGCAGAATGGATAAGAAAGCAAGATCCTTCAATATGCTGTCTGCAAGAGACACATCTCACACACAGAGACAAAAACAGATTAAAAGTTAAAGGATGGGAAAAAAATATACCAAGCTAATTGCAAAAACAAATAGGAGTGGCAGTACTTATCTCTGATAAAATAAATTTTAAGGCAAAAACCATCATAATAGATAAAGATGGACGTTATCTCATGATTAAAGGGACAATTGAACAAGATGACATAACCATAATAAATATCTATCCTCCCAATGAAAGAGCTCTAAAATATATAAAGCAGAAGAAGAAATGGATGAATCTACAATAATTATTGGTGATTTTAATAAACCGCTTTCAAAAATGGATAGAACAACCAAAAAGAAACTTGACACAGAAGAACTACACAACACATTCAGCCAACTGGAGCTCATAAATGTGTACAGAGCATTCAACCCAACATCTGGACAATATACATTCTTTTCCAGTGCACATGGAATATTCTCCAAAATAGACCATGTCTTAGGACACAAAACAAATCTTCAAAAATTTACAAATATCAAAATACTACAAAGCATCTTCTCAGACCACAAAGCTATCAAATTAGAAATCAACAATAGAAGACCAAGAAAATAAAGTCAAATACATGGAAACGGAATTAACACCCTGCTAAAAAGTGACTGGGTAGTAGAAGAAATTAAACGTGAACTGACAAAGTTCCTAGAAAAATTGAGAATGAAAACACAACTACCAAAATCTTTGGGACACGGCAAAAGCGGTGCTGAGAGGACAATTTATTGCATTTTTTAAACACACACATCCAAAAAGAAGAAAGAACCAAAATCATCTACAACAATTAGAAACAGACCAGCAGAGGGAACCTACAGCCATCAAAAGAAAAGAAATAATAAAGATTAGAGAAGAAATAAATGTGATAGAAAACAGAAAAACTATAGAAAGAATCAATGGGACAAGAAGCTGGTTCTTTAAAAGGATTAACAAAATTGACAGACTATTGGCAAACCTAACAAAAGAAAAGAGGGAGAAGACACAAATGACACACATTTGAAACCACATAGGCAATGTCACAATGGAACCCAAAGAAATCAAAAGGATAATAACAGAATACTATGAAGAGTTGTACTCCAACAAATTAAAAAACTTAGAAGACAG